TCTTCTCTTCTCTTCTCTTCTCTTCTCTTCTCTTCTCTTCTCTTCTCCCCTCCCCTCCCCTCCCCTCCCCTCCCCTCTCCCCTCCTCTCCTCTTTCCTCTCTTCTTCTCTCTCTCTCTCCCTGTGCATTCCTGCAGTGCCAGATCCAGACTGAGAGACAGAGGATACAAACGGGTTTTGATCAGCTCAGAAGAATCCTGGACGAGGAGGAGCAGAGAGAGCTGAAAAAACTTGGGGAAGAGGAGCAGCTGATACTCGCCAGCCTGGCGGAGGCAGAAGCTGAGCTGGCTCATCAGAGCCAGGTGGTGCAGGAACTTATTTCAGATCTGGAGCTTCGGTGCCGGTGGCCAGCGGCGGAGCTGCTGCAGGTAGGAATGAGCACCTCAAGGCAGGCACAGAGACATCGCCCCTTTCCTTCCTCGTGCACTCAGCACTAATGGAAGTCATGGAAGGGAAGATTATTGCCTCTTTTCCAGTCTAAAGGGAAACCCCATTCCAGTTTTGTTTTGTTTTGTTTTGTTGTGTTGTGTTTGTTTGTTTGTTTGTTGCCATTAAGTAAGATGTTAGCCTGAGAGGGACCCACCATATGATCCCAGGGACTGGGTCCGGGGCTTGGCAGCAGGACCTTTACCCACTAGGCCGTCTTGACTGCCCTTTTTCATTTTTATCCCTAGCACCCTCCTGCCAAGCTCTACCCCAGCTCCATGATGCTTTCATTGGCTTCTTCTTGTGATGATTCAACAATTTTAGTATTACGTGAAGCCATTTTTTGTTTTTTGGAAGATTTTTTAAAATATTGTAAAATATTGGTGTTTCTTATTCTTTTAAGCTTTTAGTAAAATTCAGCAGTGAAGCCATGGTTGACTTTTCCTTTCATGAAGCTTGACTTCCAATCTAATCTCTTTGCATGCGTTCATCCTATGCATGTTTTCTCTCTTCTTGATTCACTGTTGGTTGCTTCTGCACTTCCGGGATCCGTTCCTCTCCTCTAACTTACCTACTTTGTTCATAACACAACAAACCAGGGTGGAGAGGGCTTAAGGAGTTGAATCCAGAGCCTCACACTTGCTAGGTAAGAATTCTTCCTCCAAGCCACACCCCAGCTCCTGTGGTTCTTTTCAGTTTTGTTTGCTTGTGTTCTGATGGAGGCTTCACTCCAGCTCCTGGCACCCTTATACCCAGAGTCAGGAATGTATGGGTGGAAGCTCCACCCCAAGCCTGGCACTCTGGGCATTGGGCAGACTCCACCTCTGAGAAAGCCACCAAACCATAACCCCTCCCCAGAGATGTTCAAGAACACTCCCACAGGGTATTTTAAAACAAACAAACCCAGAGAACAAACACATAGTTTTCTGGTCTTCCTTTCTGGGGGGCTGGAAAGCCATCCGGGAGCACTGATATTCATTAAACCTGGGCCTTTTCTAATTTGGTTTGCTTTGGATTATTGACTCGGCAAAGAAGCTTTTTGGGAAGCAGAAACTTTTCAGTTTGTTTATTTATTATTTGTCCAAGGCCAGTAGCAGTGTCTCATCTTTTCTTCCCCATTTGAAAACTCTACCTCTCCTTTATTTTTTCCTGGTGTGTTTAGGCTAAGGGTTGCCAGTTCTGTTGGTATTTTGACATAACTTTTTAAAAAGGAGAAGGAAAGAAACTAGCAGGGTGATGATTGTGCAGGCCTTTAATCCCATCCCAGCACTTGGGAGGCAGAGGCAAGCAGATCCCTGTGAGTAGAGCCAGAATAGGCTCTAAAGTTACACAGAGAAACCCTGTCTCGGAAAACAAAAAACAAGAAACAAACAACACACACACACACACACACACACACACACACACACACACACACACGAAAGAAACCATATTTTTAGCCAGTTTTTGCTGGCAAATATATGTAACCTCAGTGCTTAAGAGGCTAAAGCGGGAGGATCAACAGTTTAGCACCAGCCTGGGCCACATCAAAAGACGCTATCTAGAAAAAAAGATAAAATAATTTACTCTTGGTTCTTTGATTCCCCTTCCTCCTTTGCTCCTTTCCACTAACCCTGCTCTAAGCTCACACTTTGTGACTTGTGGTTTTATTTTCTTCTCCCTAGGATATGAGCGGTACCTTGAAATGGTAAGTATGGATGACTCCAAGTGGGGTGTGTGTAGTGAAGATGGAGTAGTAGTTGTCCCTATCAGTTTTCTTGTCAGTTTTGACAATCTAGAGTCATTTGAGAAATGGGAACCTCAGGTGGACAAGCCACCGAGACATTTTCTTGGTTAACGGTTGAAGTGGGTTGCTGGTCCCAGGTAAAGACTTGATCGTCTCATCCCCTCAGAGAATGAACTAGACTCAGTGGCAGTGAACATGGCGTTTTAAGTCAGAGTTGGGGTCACGAAGGGCATTAGCAATGTCAACGTCATTTTCCTGTGACTTCACTTCACCCCTGCAGGCTCCCTGCCGCCATTCCTGATCTCCTGCTTCATAGGTGTTTAGTAAACAGAAAGCCTGACCAAGGCCTAGACAGGCCATGGGGACTTTGTTCACTGAGAATAGAAGATTTCTACTGACTTGTAGAAACACACACACGTTGGGGTTTGTGATTCTTATCTAAGTTTCCAAAATTATTCTCTTGTTTGGCATGGTTTACAAGCTCTTATGTTAAATATCCTTGATCTGTAGTTGCCAATCTGGTTTTTGTTTTTGTTGTTGTTTTTTTGAGACAGGGTTTCTCTGTAGCTTTGGAACTGTTCTGAAATTCACTCTAAACCAAGCTGGCCTCTAATTCATAGAGTGCTGGTGTAGGACGCTCACCCCTTATTCTCAAAGTGGTGAGAAGAAATTTCCTAGCAGAATGTTTTCCCAGGAAGATAGTGGCCTTCCCGTCTCCCACCTGGGACATTCTGAGCACAAGGTCACTTAGCTCAGCCCAGCCAGCCACTTAGTACAGGCTGATAAAGATGTCCTAACTCAGGAACAGTGGCCTTGCTCTAAGAACAAGGAAATAGCTGATTTAACAAAATGGGAGGGAGCAAAAGTCCTTGCACCCTGTACCAAAGCAGCTTCAAAGATTCTCTTTGTAGTTATGCCTTTAAAAGCTGACCCCACAGAGGAGATACAACTCCTCTTTCTACCTCACTATAACGGGGATGGAGATGAGTTCCGAACATGTTTGTATTATGCTGATTAAACCTTGCTTATTACAGTCTGGGCCTCTCTGGTGGTCTCTCTCTGAGGGTCGTAATCTGGGCACAACACTGGGATTAAAGGTGCAGGCCACCACCACTCAGCCTTGGAGTTGCCTATCTAATAGCATCAACTTCCTTTAAAACACATGAAATTAAAACAAGACTCATTTGGGGGTTTGTTTTTGTTTTTGTGGAGCAGGGCAGGCAGATCTCTGTGAGTTTGAGGCCATCCTGGTCTACAGAGCAAGTTCTAAGACACCCAGGACCACACAAAGAAACTTTGTCTCAAAAAAAAAAAAAAAAAGTCAGGGCTTTCTCTGAGATTCAAGTATCAAGTTAATCAATGATGTGGAGGGGATAAAGGCAATGGTGTCAGAGACAACAAGGAGACAGATGTAAAGGTAAAATATGTCTTCACCTCCAGGAGTCAAATCTGGACGTTGAAGAAGCCAAAAGCGGTTTCTAGTAAACTGAAGAAGATATTCCAAGCTCCTGATCTGAGCGACATGCTCCGACAGTTTAGAGGTGAGTGAGGCGCAGTGGCAAGTGTGGGTGTGGGCCGCTGGGGAGGGGTAAGTCTGCAGATGAAGAGAGCAGGGGGTCAGGGAGGGGCATCCTGTGAGGAAGAGGGTCCAGTTGTGTCTGGGGGAGAACTGGGAAGGATTCGGTTTGGTCTCTCACTTACCAGCTGCAGCTTCACTCTACCAGCCTTCCTTACCTCTAGAGAGAAGTATTCCCATTTTTTTTGCTTCTGATGAAAAGTCACCAAATCTTTTATCGTTTCAGAGTTAACAGCTGTCCGGGGCTATTGGGGTAAGAAGTTGCAGATCTTCACATCACAGTATTCTGGTCACCTTTCCGAAGGGTTGGTTCAGTGAGGTCTCATCACCTTTGTGGTCTCCAGGGTCACCATGTGCACACAGAGTGTTCTTCTATGGCTTCCTATGGTGGTATATGCCTATAATCTGAGCACTAGGGAGGTGAGGCAGGAGAATCGCTTGTCTAAGGCTAACCTGGGCTACTTAGCAAGACACTGTCCTAAAACAACAGCTGTATAACATTTTTGTATTGTTTTACCGTCTGCCGCAATCTATCAGTATTAGTTCCCTCTAACCTTTCCAGGTTTTGCTTTTCATGATGTCATCAAACAAGCCACCTCTGTATTGGTCACCTGACCTTTTTCTTTCTTTTTTTTCTCTTGCAGCGGATTTCACATTTAATCCAGAAAACCTAAATTTGAATCTTATTCTTTCAGAAGATCACAGACAAGTGACATCTGTGCCTATTTGGCCATTTAAGTGTTATAATAATGGTATCTTGGGCGCCAAATGTTTCTCCTCAGGGAAACATTACTGGGAAGTGGATGTGTCTAAGAAGAATGCCTGGACGCTGGGAGTTTACGTTAGAAAACGTACTTTAAAGTTTGATGTCAGGAGAGGCAAAAATAAGCCAAATGTTTGCCACAGATATAAACCTCAGAATGGCTACTGGGTTATAGGGTTACAGGATGGATCAAAGTATAGTGTCTTTGAGGATTCTTCCAACTGTGACCCTACCGTTCTGACCCCCTTTGTGGCTGCCCCTCTCCAGCGGGTTGGGGTTTTCCTTGACTGTGAAGAGGGCATGGTGTCCTTCTTCAATGTCACAAACCATGGGTCACTCATTTACACGTTCTCTCAATGCTGCTTTCCCCACCCTGCTTATCCATACTTTAATCCTTGGGACTGCCCAGTTCCCATGACCCTGTGCCGTCTGAACTCCTGAGTTTGCTCATTCTCATCCATTTCTGATATTACTGCTTGCCTTGAGGCTCGCCTTCATCTGGACATACCCGTGCCATTCAAGCATTTCTTCCCATGGTCTCCCTTCTGTACTTTAATACTTTAAGTCGTGCTTAGATGTGGTGAATCTGGAATCATTTAGGAGAGATGCTTACCCATTTACTCTTGTTGATATCCTCAAAGACAGCTCAAATCAAGCCGAGGGCTAGCTAGACCAATCAGTATAACATCTATGCCCTCTGACTTCTGTATTTCCCTCTGTCTTCAAGAAATGTGACAAAGCCAGTTAGCCACTCTTCCCTGTTATTTAAACAATCCATAAGAACTGGCCTAGAAACCATTACTAATGAGAATGTGTCGATTTGCCCAAGATATCTCATGTTCAACAGGGAGTCAAGGAATAGAAAATGTAAGCAGTAATGAGCCTAGAGTAGAGTTATTTCTGGTCTACAAATTCAAGTCCTTTCTTTCACTATAACAAATACAGAGGTTTTTAAACTGTAAATTGAAATGCATGTAACTTAAGATGGTGTATGAAACCAAGTATCAGTAAATATAGAATACTAACTTGACTGTCTTGTACATAATAAGGATATTTATGATTTCTGGACATTATAAGCCACATGACTTATTGGGCCTCATGAGGCCTGGGCATGATGCCCAGTGTAACCTGCTGAGCCTAACTTGAGCTGGCGTGCAGCCTAGTGTAACTTCCTGAGCCTAGCTCGAGTTTGGAGACCTTTCTTTGACTATAACTTCCGCACAGAAAGGGACTCAGCACAACCCGACCTAGGCCCGCCTCTGCCCAGCTACCACTAACGTGGCAGAATATTACTGGCCCTTGTTCCTTGCTCCACCTTGGCCCATCCCAGGCTTTCCCCTCCACCCCATATCTCAGCCTATACAAGTTCCTGCCTTATAATACAATTAAACAAGACCTTGCTTTGACATCCTCCCAACTCAGTGTGTGTGTTTTTTCCAGTGGCCAAGGGGGAGGTCTGAGTCCCGACACTCACCATCCCTCTCAGGCCCAGGGAAAGTCCAGCAGGTCGGGACTGAAGTGTTTATTTTGTTGGTGCTGTGAATGACATTATTGTCTCAACTTCCACTTTGGATAGTGTGTTATTTCTGAATAACCGTTTTGCATCTTTCGAGTCTTAGTTTCATTCCTGTTGCTGCGACAAATCACCCTGAGCAAAGAAAGCCTACGGGAGAAAGGATGGAGTCCAGGGAGGTTACAGCCCCTCATTGCAGGAACGTCAAAGGAGCTTAGGGAGTGTTTGCTTATCCTGCGTGAAGATGTGTGTGTGCTTTGCCTCACCTGCCTAAGGCACCTGATTGGTTTAATAAAGAGCTGAATGGTCAATAGCTAGGTAGGAGTGGGTAGATGGAATTTCCAGGGAGAGAGAGGAAGAAGAGATGAATCTAGGCATGCAGGGAATGCCTGCAAGATGTGGAGCAGGCTGGATGTACAGAATGGGAGAGGTAAATGTCATGTGGCAGAACATAGAATAGGAACAGGTTAAGTTATAAGCACTAGTTGGTTCCCAATAAGTAGTAAATATAGCTAGCAATAAAATTTAAAAAAGAGCTAGTTGGGAATGAGCCTAAGCTAAGGCCAGGCTGTAATAAGTCTCTGTGTCATTATTTGTGAGTGGGTGGCCCATACTACAAAGAGGTTTGAGGTGACTAGACACTACATCTGTAATTGTGAGTGGAGAGCAATGAATTAATGCATGCATGCTGTCCGGTTGCCCCATTCATTCATTCAGTCTGGGCCCTGCCATTAAGGAAGAAATCCCCGGATATCATTGTTACTATCATTGTGAGACAAGCCTGTTTTTTTCTGCTGTCTGTATATGAGATAGCATTTATAACTGTAATATAAATTAGTACACTGGCACATGATGTCTGTGCTTATTGAAAGAGAAGTACGGGAACACGGTGAGACGTCTGTCACAGACGTAAGCATGTTTATCCCATGTCCTCCGAGACACACCAACCCCATGATACTGTGCCAGGAAAGGAGAAGGGTATTAAAGACATCTGAGTCCTTGAGAACACTGAGAGGGTAAGCCATTTCTAACAGAGGTCACTCTCTTTATCCCACGGCACAACACTGCCTGCAGTACCAGAAACATTAGGTACAGGTGGGCTCTTTTGTACCTGAACTAAAGTCTGCCTATTATAGATCAGCCTTAAAACAGAACAATATGTGACATGTAATAGTATTATATATAAAGAAAAAATAATCAAGAACAAAGTATGGCCTAAAGAATATAAAGGTACTAGATGAGGGATGCTGACATACTCACAGACCAAAAAAAAAAATCCAGTGCTTGAGTCAAGCTTTAACAAGACATGACTGTTATCAGCAGCCCTGTGCCTGTTGTCACTTGTACTCCATGAAATGGTCTATGTGACATTTGGAGTAGTTTAAACAATCCATTGTCTTAAATTGCTAGTTTTTCTTCCTTGACAGTTTGATCCAGTATGTGTAACCTCATGTGGAGTAGTTCTATTTTTCAAAAAGGTTGATCTGTGATGTCATTCTACATTATCATAATTCATTTGCAGCTAAAAACTTAGTCTGTCCTTTTATCTTGTTAATACACCAAATTCTGGTAGGGGGAAAGAACTGGAAAGTCACAGTACTGGAGAAATCAAAAATAGTGTCATGTTCCTTACCAACAAAGTCTTTCTTCCCCCTTTGGTAGGAACTTTCCTCATCGCTTAGTTAAGACGAGAAAAGCAGCAGTGGATATCGCTGTAGCATTGCTTCCTCCCACTGCGCTTCGGTTTTATTCTGCATGATTATGGAACAAGGGGACCTAGACACTGAATGATCACCACTGACAGACAGCCAGATTAAATGTTAAAGTACACAGACAACCATCTAGCCCTGTGTGGGCTTTTCTGTCTCTGTAAAGGAAGCAGACTTGGGGCTGGGGAGCTGGCTCAGTGGCACGTGTGTTTACACAGAACCTGGCTTATTCTCGGCGCTCACATGGAGGTTTAGCACCTTCACAGGACCAGGCATGAACGTGGTGCACAGACATACATGCAGGTTAAATATGCATACACCCAAAATAATAAAATAAATCTTAAAAAGTAATTTAAAAATTTCAAAAATAAAAACAGACTTTGTGTCCTTCAGGTCTACCATTAACCTCTAACCTCAGTGAAAAGGCTGAAGGCGACCAGGCGAGCACAGCCCTGGCTACACGGGCCTTGAGAAGTGCCACAAATGTGTCAGATTCCAGCTGTACAGAATACACACTGACATTTATTTCAAACAGAGGAAAGGAATTCCCATGAAACACAATTATTGAAGAAATATAAATAAAAGGTCAGAAAGCTCTGAAGTTAAGAATTTTAACAAACAGAAACATTTATTTACAAATTATTAGAACAAAAAAATCTGGGATTTTGCAATCTAGTTATTTCATTTCTTACAACAAAGTGGAGCAATGGTTTTGAAATCAACCAATACATACACTTTATTTTTGTTTGTGATGGTGTCTCACTCTGTATGTGAGACTTCAAATACACAGCAATTTTCCTGCCACAACCTCCCAGATACAGGGATAGCACAAATGAGCTACCATGAAAGTTCTGATACAGAATCTTAGTCACAGTGATAAAGACACCCCTCCCCCAGTGGAACAAGACACTATACTGGACTGCTGGAACAAGGCAAGTCTCTAGGAAATTCTCTATTGTCTATGTTTACTACACACTGAAAGATTAGAATGTCACAAAGTTCAGTTCTCGGTAAGGTACCAAATCACTCTCAAGAGTGAGAAAGAAGACACATACACACGCATGGACACTCACGAGAACCCTGGAATCATGTGATCATGGGAGTTATCTAGGGACTAGAAGTAAGACTGGTAGAAAGTCGGTCCTTGTTCCCCACTTGCCCATGGCTTCATGGGACACTACAATACAGTGTATAGCTCATGGAAATTAACAGAACAAACTGAGAAACTTCAGTGGATGCTCTATACTTACTGAGTTTCTTATTTTTTAAAAAATTGCATTTGCTCATTTTATGTTGATGTATGTGTCTGAGTCTCTGTATGCCACAGCGTGTGTGAATTCAGAGGGAAGACTGTATGGATATGGGTTCAGGGGATCGAACTCAGCTGCCCAGGTTTGGTGACAAGGGCTATTACCCACTGAGCTGTATCGCCAGCTTCATACTCATTTCCTTACATTGGCTTGAGGCACCTGCACTATTTACAGCAAAATTATAACAGAATAAGCACATCTGTTAAGTGTGCTAGAACCGCTGGCATGGTAGAACCAGGACTTGAACTTGAACTCAGGTACTCTGGCCACACATTGTCTACTCTATCTCAATCTGTCTCTCTCTCTTTCCCTCTAGTGTGTGGGTGTGCATGCACGTGCGTGCGTGTGTGTATGTGTGTGTGTGTGTGTGTGTGTGTGTGTGTGTGTCTCTGTCTGTCTTGCTAAGATGTTTTAGGACGCTAATATTCTTCAAAAATATAGAACATGTGCCAGGTGCTAGGTAGTGGTGGTGCATACCTTTAATCCCAGCACTTGAGAGTCAGAGGCAGGCAGATATCTCTAAGTTCAAGGCCAGCCTGATCTACAAAGTGAATTCCAGGACAGCCAGAGCTACACAGACAAACCCTGTCACAAAAAAAACCAAAAAACAAAACAAAACAAAAAAGGAGCACTTCATGAATGTGTGTGTCATCCTTCAGCGGGGGCCATATTAATTGTCTCTGTGTCATTCCACTTTGGGTAGACATATGGCCTAGGTGAGCGAGCGCACGGCTGACTTCTAGTGTCTGTCATTTGTGATGTTTTCTCCTAAGTTCCTTGATGAAGAAGCATCATGGTGAAAATGACCTACTGCTAAGGGTACATTTCTTAACCATGGACTCCTACGTATAATTCTCAAAACTAGTAGACAAGCTGTTGAAGAACTTCCTTTCTTTTCCTTTCCCCGAGGAGTAGAATGAGGTATAGAGACATGAGGGGAACTGAGGCAGGCACTAGTCGTGGAGCGCCTTCTCAGTAAGCATGAGGCCTTGGGTTCCGTCTCTGCCACCGAGAATAAAGGAAGAATTTGGTAGCAGTGTTATCTTCCATAGTGAGGACTCAAATATTTGTCCTTGAATATATGGTGAATGATTTACTATTCCTACCTAAAATACCAAGGAACTGAGAATATGGCCCAAAGAATGAATATATTTTATTCACCAGTGAAAGATGTTCACACAGGAAGGCTAGAGACAGCAAATTATCTCCATATATATATATGGGTAAAATGGTGCCCAAGAGGTCAGGCAAATAAGATACACACCAGAGCCAATGGCCCTACAGAGAAACAGATGAAGTTTTACGAGTCTGACCAGCATACTGTCATTGGCACTGAACATCGCCTAGGATTAAAATATGGAAGAACATTATCAGGAAAAGAATTTGCACAGAATCTGTAGATGAGAGTCCCATGGTGGGAAATATTGAAAAACGAGAGAGTGCCGGCTGCATAGTCGAGGAAAACGCCAACTCGACAGGGAGGAACCATCAACGAGAGGGTCAGGACATTGGGCCTGCCTGTGATGGCACACTCCTCAAAAGCATTATACACGCACTTGTTCCACAGCCCTATAACCCAGAAGCCATATTTAGGTTGATAATGTGAATCATTGCTAACACCCAAACGAAATAAGGGATTTAGGCGGCTTTCAGCATTTGAATGAAATATCGGATTGAAGAGGTAGCTTCCATCACTTAATCCCAGAACCCAGGCACTTTTTCCAGACACATCTACTTCCCAATAATGCTTTCCTGATTGGATAGATGGGTAGCCCAGGACACCATCATGAGAGTTCTCACACCCAGGTGCAATATTTCTTGTTTGATGTTCTTCATATCTTATTTCTCTTTTGTCTGCAGTAATGGTGATGTTTGGATTGTTGTTCTCAACCAGTGTCACTTGAACTGCACAAAAATGACAGCAGTGAGTGTCGTGGGGTCAGGAAATACTGTGATGTTATGAACAGAAGTTTAAGCCAGGTGGTGGGGGCACACGCCTTTAAACCCAGCAGGAGGCAGAGACAGAGGCAGGAGGATCTCTGTGAGTTAGAGGCCAGCCGGTCTACCAGAGCTAGTTCCAGGACAGTTAGGGCTGTTACATAGAGAAACCCTGTCTCAGAAAACAAACAAAAATAAAAGAAGTCTAAGAAGAAAGTGTGCAGGCCTGAAAGGAACCTTGTGTAGAAATCACTGGAGAGGCAGATTACAGAAGCATACTACATAGCCTGGGAGAAGCAACATGAGGTCTAACAGAAACATAGGCTTTGCAAGGCAGTGGGAAGAGGCATTGGCTTACAGTGCTGTGTTTTCTCCTTACCCCAGTAGCGCCGGGCCTCCATGAGCTCTGAAAGGACGAAAGTTCACAATCTTAAATGCAAGCAAAGGTAATCTAAAGTCCACTTCTGCAGATTGGGCAAGAGTCAAAAACCAGAACAGGGTCAAAGACGAAAGGTCATGTCCCATCAGAGAAGGCCCAATCATCAGTACGTGGTGTCTACTCTTCCTTGTCCCTATCTGGAAGCCACTAGAATCCCAAAGCCACAACATGTAACGTAGCTCTCCTCACCTTGAAGCACTTGCAGCATGCCTTGTAGATCAGGGGCTTGGAACACTCTTCTTCGTTTCTTGGGGATGGCTTTGGGCTTCATCACTGAAAAGGCCTCACTCCTAGGAATTAAAAACAATTAAAACCCCTGCCACCACTACTTTCTCTCATTTCAAACCACAGATGCACTTGAGCTTTCAAGGATGCTGAGGAGGGTAGTATGCCATCTGGGGATGTGAAAAGCACAATCGTGTCCCCTCCTATTTACTTTCAGTGCAGTTTTGGGAAGGCCTTATGTTCTCAAAATCATGGTTCTTGCCTTCTAAAATGAAACAATTTATTTTTTCCCACTCAGCCTCCTTGATAAAGTAATAAATTTTAAAACAAACCAAAGGTAAAGTACTTGGGGAAAAACTGTGTGGAAACATATTTTTATGTATGTGGGTTCTTGGGTACAGAACCCACACCTTGGAGCTCAACGCAAATCAAGTATGGGAAATATATCTGGGAAAGTCCAATGACTTCAAAACCTTTAGCCAATATAGAGAATTGTAGATAACACCTGATTTTTCAGGCTCTATTATAAAAAGTACAAACAGTTGGAAAAGATGAGGACATCAAACTAATACTAATATGATCCCAGTGTCTTAGAAAAAATCCTCGGTGTGGTCATGTGGGTGTGCTATCTAGACACAAGGTTGTCATCTCCTGTAGAGTATGGGATGGAAATGAACCAGTCGCTCACACCTGTATCACAGTGGTATGTGCAGAGATTCAAGACTATTGTTGCAAATCTAAGTACATCCAGAAAGACTGGATGTCTTCTTTTTTTATTTATTTTTATTTTTTATGATTTATTTAGCTTTTTATTTTATGTGCATTGGTGTGAAGGTGTCAGATCTCCTGGAACTGGATTTTCAGACAGTTGTGAGCTGCCGTGTGCATGCTGGGAACTGAACCCAGGTCCTCTGGAAGAGCAGTCAGTGCTCTTATCCTCTGAGTCATCTCTCCAGTCCCAAGACTGGATGTCTTCTAGTCTCCGGAGAAAATAATGTTAACGTATAGAAATTTTGCCAATGGATAATTCTGTGTACTTTGCAGACATAGAAGCCACATCCCATCTACCATAGACTAAGCACCTGTTAAATCCAGATCCAGAGCCACATGCAAGCACACAGGTTGAGTAAAGCGCTGACATCACAATGGAGCTAAGAGTACCCTAGATTTTATCCCTAATCCCACTACTGAGCCAAATAGTTCCTCACAACCCATTTCTCTACCATAGGCTCTAATCTATTCTCACAGTGCCAACACACTCTGTCCCTGTTTTTTGATCAGAATTTCAATACTAAATCTAAATTGCCCCAACCTGGGAGAATTATGTTCTACTTGAAAACTACGTCATTCTTGCCACACGGAAAGACTGCCACTGGCAGCCATACATACCATATTATGATGTCATCCACACCCTAGACAGGAACAGAGAAAACAGGAATTAAGATTTTTCATTAAGATGGTGGGTGAGCATCCTCGCAACTCAGACTCTGTGAGAGACAACAGTCATGATAACACGCGAGGAGGCATTTCCTGCAGGTGACAGTCTGTAAATGAGTTGATTAAGGCAGCAGAGATCACTGTGGGTGGCAGGCAGCTTCTCCACCAAAGGACTCCCAGTGTGCACAGCATGCTGGGATGTGTCAAAGCACTCAACACTATCAGGAAGAGGTGCTTCTCACATACACTGGAACCGCAGGAGTGCAGGGATCTGCAGGAAGCACTTCGAAAGGACTTAGAGCCTGTCCTTGCTCACACCAGAACAGGGGAACATGGTGGCTCCCAAGATCTATGTAAGCCACTAACTGCTCAGACACAGCACATGGAGAACGGCCTAAAGCCAAAGGGATCTGAGAAAGTCATCTTTGAACTCAGCACAACTGCGTCAGAAATTAACTAGGATAGTGTTCTTGTTACTTACTTTCTTTCTTTATCTACTCCACTCTTTGACACGCCACACTACGGTTTGGCTTTTGTCTGTGACTTGCTCTGTTAGGCTGTAGATGGTTGTTTCTCTGCAGTCTCCTCCATCACATCCTTTGTCAGACTTTTCACCCACATCTCATGGGCTTCTCTTCTTAGTCCTACATTTCTTCCTCTCATTATTCTCTCTCCTCTTTTAACTTCTTTTTAAATTTCTTTTATACTTTATATGTGTTTTGTCTGCATGTGTGTTTGTGCACCACACTGTACGCCTGCCTGGTGCCCCTGGAGGTCAGAGGGTGTCATATCTCATGGAACTGGAGATGGCAGTGAGTCACCATGTGGGTTCTGGGATGGAACCTAGGTCTTCTGCAAGAGAAACATGTATGCTTAATGGCTTAGCTATTTCTCCGGCCTCACTTTTTTATTCTTTAATTATAGCCTTTCATAGCTTTAACAATTTCCAAAATCTGTGGAATCTGACAGTGTCCCAATGTTCCCCTTAAAGATAACTTTTCCACCTTAAGTTTTTTTTTTTCTTTAAAAAATCTCATGCTTGGGATGGAGAGCTGGTTCAATGGTTAAGAGTCCTTGTTGCTCTTCTGCATGGTGGTTCATTGCCATCTGTCACTCCAGTTCTAGGGGATCCAGTGACCTTTTCTGGCCTCCAGAGGCACCAGGCACACACATGGTACACATGCATACAGGCAGGCAAAGCACTCATGCACATAAAATAAACAAAAAACACATTTAGCTGGTTGTTGGTGGTGCACACCTTTAATCCCAGCACTCGGGAGGCAGAGGTAGATGCATCTCTGTGAAATCAAAGCCAGCCTGGTCTACAGAGCGAGTTCCAGGACAGGCTCCAAAGATATACAGAGAAGCCCTGTCTCGAAAAACCTATATATATATTTTTTTTAAAAAAAAAAAAAAAAAAAACGATTCGCCAAGTGGTGGAGCACACCTTTAATCCCAGCACTCGGGAGGCAGTGGCAGGTCAGGAATTCAAGGCCAATCTGGTCCCTGTAATCAAATTCCAGGACACCCGGGAGCCAGGACTACAATAGAGAGACCCTGATTTTTAAAAAAAAAAATCCACCCCTCCCCACCCCTCCCCACCCCGTGTGTGTGTGTGTGTGTGTGTGTGTGTGTGCATGTGCGTGTGTGTGTGTGTGTGCGCACGCGTGCATTTTGAATAACAAAACAGGATCTTGTTCTGTGGCTCTGCCTGGTGCCTGGGGCCAAAGGTCAGAGGTCAGAGGGTGTCAGATTTCATGGACCCAAAGAGCTAAGCATACAGATGTGTGGCAGCATATCTGGAGTTCAAACAAGCCGGCCTAGAGCAAGCTGCACACTCCCGTCTCCTGAAGTTGTAAACCAATAGCTGACATACGGACTCAACCTCAGCATGGATCAACAGATGAATGGACAGAAGCAATGGGGTCCACACACACAGTGGAATACGAGACAGCTTTATAAAAGAGGAAGCACAATCATTTGCGGTAACACAGATGAACCAACAGAGTTAATGTCACATGAAACAAGCCAGGTTGAACCAAATAAACACCGCATGATATCACGTGACTACGTAAAAGATCTCATAGGAGACTAGAGTGCGTGCGGACAGTAGTTGGGCAGGGAAAAGTGGGATTGATACTGCTCAAAAGATAAATTCCTAGTATTGTACAGTACAGTGAGAGGGGTAGTAAATAACATACTCTTCAAGTTACAAAAAGACTCAGTGTTGCCATCACACAAAGAAAGCAGTACGATGTGGGGCCATGCATTTGTGAAACAGTTCCATGTAGTATTTCATAATGTACGTATATTTCAAAACACCCTGTAATATGTACATTTTTTTAAATTAAAATGAACACAATAGGAAAGTAAAAAATTGAAAAGATGGTGAGGACTTCCTACAACCAATATGGCCTATAAATTTTATAACTGAGATGGGAGAAACACATTCCTATGGAGACATCTCAAACAAACGCTGCAAAATGCTAACTCTGGGCTGCAAGACGGCTCAGCAGGGAAAGGCATTGGCCATACAAGCATGTGGCTCAGTCCCTGGAAGTGATGTAAAGGTGGAAGGAGGAAACCATCTTTCCATAGTTGTTTTCTGACACATAACACACACAGACACACGTGTTTTGAAATAGGGTTTCTCTGTATAGCCTTGGCTATCCTGAAACTTGCTCTGTAGACCAGGATGGCCTCAAACTCACAGAGACCCACCTGTCTCTGCCTCCTGAGTTCTGGGATTAAAGGCAGACACCACCACCACCTGGTACATAAAATATTTTTAAGGAGTGAAAATGACCTAAATAAATGTGATACTAAAATAAAATAAAAAATTTACATTTCTTTAAATAGCAAAACAAAACAAAAAACTACAATGTGCAGTGGCTTAAGTAGCTCTAATACTTTTAAAAAATACTTCCAGTTCATTATTTCTTGTCTTTTACTATTATTTTATACATATGAACATTTGCCTGCACACCTGCTTGTGCATCACCAGCACGCTCGGTACCTGCGGCGGTCAGAAGAAGGCACTGGGTTCCAAGCAGTGTTGAACTACAATGTGGGTGCTAGGAATTGAACCCAGGCACTGTAGAAGAGCAGCCAGTGCTCTTAAGTGCTCAGCCACTGAAGATGGGAGAAGCCTCAACTCATCCTATGGTGGACAACATAAACACCTCTCAGAACTACAAGTGTCTTACTTGCCCGTGTCTAGCTGGAGTTAATGTGGTACTTAAACAACACACAGCTCCGCTCAGCAAGAGCAGGTGCCATGGACACCCACGCCTCCAGCAGAGCTCCTCCCCAAACTTTTATCTTTTGTGCTGTACTTGATAAACTAAATAAAAAAGATTCCACTCTTATCATTTATGCATGCAATGATTTCCCAGCCTATGAAACTTGTTTGGAAAGAGTTTAGGGAGAGCCCAGAGAGCCCTACTGTCCTCCCCAGGGAGATTATAGCAGCACAGAGGGAGGGAAATGGCTTCCAGGTCTCCTGACTCTCAGAGGCTGGACCTCCTGCAGCCTTACCTGCAGCATCTCCATGGCTGAGCACTGCAGCTGACGCTCCACATCTGAGATGAGGTCTCCTAGCAACTTGCTCTGTTGGGCATGCTTACTTTCAGACTCTGCCAGGTTGCTCAGAACGTCATCCTTCTCTTGCGTCAGCTTCTGCAGTTCATTCTTCTCTTCAGAGTCCAGGACGTCTCTTAGTCTTCTAAATTCTGTCTGAACGTTTTCTACATCTTTCTGTATTTGATTCTTCAGAGATAAGAAGAATGGAAAGATAATGGAAGAATTATTCAGTCTGTCAAAATGTGCTAGTGGAAGTTTCCTGTTGTTGTTTTGTCTGTTTTCCTAGACAGGGTTTCTCTGTGTAGACCAGGCTAAGATTCATCAAAATCAGAGCTCCATCTGCCTCTGCCTCCCGAATGCTTGGATTAAAGGCATACACTACAAGCTCCAGGCTTTGTGTGGGAGTTTTTACGAGGAATGGAGACAATGAAAAGAGAGTCTTTTTTTTTGTTTTGTTTTGTTTTGTTTTGTTGTTATTTTTTGAGACTTTATATAACAGTCTTGGCTGTTCTGGAACTCACTTGTAGACCATGCTGCCCTTGAACTCACTAAAATCCATCTGCTTCTGTTTCCCAAGTGCTTGAATTAGAGGTGTGCACCACCATTGCCCTGCCTAAGGAAGGTTGTCTTAGGAAAGCATGTAAACCTTTTAGTGTCTGTTAATGACATTCCAGCACAAAGACAGGTCATCTTTACCAAGATCACCTAAACCAAAATGGTACATCAAGCTATAATTCAGCTTCCACACAGATGTCCAAGATGCTTTTTCCTGCTTGTAATACTCCTCATTCTGTTTTTTGTTTGTTTGATTTTTTTTTTTCCAAGACAGGGTTTCTATGTATAGCCCTGGCTGTCCTTGGACTAGCTCTGTAGACCAGGCTGGCCTCAAACTCACAGAGATCTGCCTGTCTCTGCTGCCCGAGTGCTTGAATTAAAGACATGTACCACCACTGTCGGCCTCATTCTATATTTTAAAAAAGACTTTAGGGCTGGGTTGTGGGAGGCAGGGATAGGCGGATTTCTGTGAGTTCGAGGTCAGACTGGTCTACAGTGTAAGTTCCAGGATAGCCAGGGCTACAAGGGAAAACCTGTCTCAAAAACCAAAAAGAGGCAGCTCAGCCCTTGGGAGCATGGACTGCTCATCTGAAGGACCTGAATTCAATTCCTCTCCCCGACATGGTGACTCACAACTACCTGTAACTCTAGTTCTAAGAGATCTAATGCCCTCTTCTGACCTCCACTGAAACCAGAAAAAAATACTGGCAAATACTCATACACATAAAATAAAAATAAACAAATCTTTAAAAATAAAATTTGGCTGGATGGTGGTGGTGCTCACCTTTAATCTCAGCACTTGGGAGACAGACGCAGGTGGACTCCCTTGCAGAAACTGAACCCTGAGTATATATATTCATGATCTACCCATTCCCAAACATCTTCCCAACAGTCACAGTTCCAGAAAGCACCACAGGAGCGAGCCCCAGGACTCAGTGCCATTCTCACCAGGCCCCTGCCATGGTGTCAGCTCCTCACACAGCCAGGCTCAGCTGTGATGCCCTCTCTGTGAAGCCCCAGCTCCAAGGGAACAGGCAGAGAGGACTAATCAAGACCTCTTGTCCCCATCAGCCTCCAGGGAATGAAGAGCCAGGGAGCTTCTTGTCCAGGTCCCTCCCAGGCATCAGGCTAACTCCCTTAGGAGGTAGGGTCCCCACTTGCCTCCCAGGAAGTTCTCTCCTTTTGAAGGTCATCTTTCCAGTTCTCTAATTCTTTCTTGTCTGACATCAGCTTTTGCAGAGCGACCTGGAGCTTCCCCTGTGGGAGAGGAATTGTAGCAGAGTCAAGCTGTGTGCTTAGTAGGACAGCTGCTCCTAGTCAAAGGCCAAGAAACCCTTCTGGAAAGACAGGAGGTCTTAGATCGTTACATTTCCTGAAAGGAATGTGATATGAATTATGGATATAACATATATATATTACATATATATATATTCATACATACATATAGGATTTTTGCGTTTTTATATTTTGTGGTATTGTTTTTGGTTTTTTGAGACAGGGTTTCTTAGTATCACCCTGGCTATTCTGGAACTAGCTCTGTAAACCAGGCTCTCCAACAACTCACAGAGATCTGCCAATCTGCCTGCCTCTGTCTCCTGAGTGGTAGGATTAAAACTGTGCACCACCACTGCCAGCTACACATAAAACTCTTAAATCTATTAAGAACAAATAGATAATAAACATTTAAAAGAAAGCAAACAGGAGGGCTGGAGAGATGGCTCAGCGGTTAAGAGCACTGTCTGTTCTTCCAGAGGTCCTGAGTTCAATTCTCAGCAACCATATGGTGGCTCACAACCATCTGTAATGAGATCTGGTGCCCTCTTCTGGCCTGCAGGGATACATGCAGACAGAATATTGTATACATAATAAATAAATACAATCTTAAAAAAGAAAAGATGGCAAACGGGCAAAATCAAGTTGGTCAAAGCAGAGAGAATGGCAACTAGAGTCTAGGAGTTGGAAGAGAGTAATAAGGTCGCCATCAACTCAAAAAGATTCCCCATCCGTCTATCCTCTTTTAAAAAGGTGTTCTCAAACCAGACAGGGTGGTAGATGCCTTTAATAACAGCACTCAGGAAGCAGAGGCAGGTGCATCCCTGAGTTCAAAGCCACAAGTTCCAGGACAGCCAGGGCAACTGAGAGAAAAATAAGCAAGCAAACAAATTAATAATAAGGTGATCTTATTATGTAAAGAATCCTTGCTCCAGTTGCCTCAGAAATGCTGGGATTACAGGCATCTGCTACCAAACCCAGTTAAACTGATTTATTTTTTTTACACTAATGTGTAAAAACAGAAGGAACTGATAGCAAGGAAAGAAGAAATGAGGTATAACAACTTACTTTATTTAGTCTTTTTAACTAGCTAATTCATTTTGTGTTTTTGTTTGTTGTTTGTTTGTTTTTTAAGGCAGGGTTTCTCTGTAGTTTTGGTGCCTGTCCTGGAACTAGCTCTTGTAGACCAGGCTGGCCTCGAACTCACAGAGATCCTCCTGCCGCTGCCTCCTGAATGCTGGGATTAAAGGTGTGCGCTACCACCGCCCGACCTAATTCATTTTGTATGTGTGCATGTGTGTGTTGTGTGTGCGCAGGCATGTGCTTGTGTATGTCACCCTCGTGCTACCCCAGGTATGCAGCGGTCAGAGAACAACTTGCAGCAATCAGTCGTCACCTTCAATCATGTGACTTCTGGGTTAGAACTCCCGCTTAGCAACAAGGCACCCAGCCATCTCTCCAGCCCTCGTCTCAGTGACTGTGACAACTAAAGAAATACCAGAGCTTTTCTTGGACATAAAAATCTCAACCGTACACAGCAAGCTGTAAAAACATCTGCTCTTGTTGTAGAGTCTGAGCCCTGGTAGATTCTCTTAAGATTAAAGCTCAGGGGATAGACCTATTCTTTCAGGCCTCAAAAGGTACCAGGATGGAATGAAATCCCAGGCCTCTATTCCACAAAGATTAAGTAACTGGATGGGCACAAGAGTAGATTTCACGGTAGGTTCTGCTGTTTGCTCTATTTCCCACAATCTCCTCCCATTTCTTACCTTGTACTCATGGGCCGCCTCTTCAATGAGAGCTGTTTGGTGACCACGGTGCTCCTGAGATCGCTCACAAAGCCAGCAGATGGCCACCTTGTCCTTCTCACAGAAGAGCTGGAGTTTCTCTCCATGCTTTGCACAAACATTCACCTTCTGCTCCTCCCCTGAGCTGGACTTGAACTCCTTGAGCCTCTCCACTATGTTGGCCATATGCCGATTAGGCCTCAGATCCCCAAACAGGTAACTAACTTGGCACATAGGGCAGATGCCTTCCCCTTCTTTGACTTTGCTGGACTCATAGTTCAGTGTGATGCAGGCTCGGCAGAAGCTGTGACCACAATCGGCACTCACGGGCTCCACCATGAGGTCCAGACAGATAGGACAGGTCACCTCCTCCTTTACATTCATCATGAATTCTGAAGCCATAATTGCTGTGATCCTGGGTCTGCCTGTCCTGACTTCTGACACTCCTGCTCAGGAGCCTGCATGATTGAGAAGATGAAAAGAGGGACAAGTAAGAAAGGGAGGAATGCTGGGCGGTGGTGGCGCACACCTTTAATTCCAGCACTCGGGAGGCAGAGGCAGGCAGATCTCTGTGAGGTTGAGGACAGCCTGATCTACAGGGCGAATTCAAGAACACCTATGGGTGTTACACAGATGAACCCTGCCTTAAAACACACACACACACACACACACACACACACACACACACACACAAAACCAAAAGTAACAAGCATCTAAACATTCAATTGCAGTTATGCAATTTTATGCAAACGTTTAATTTCAGTTATACTTTATTGAATTCTGAGAATAAAGGGCCTGGGAAATAGCTCCAATATACAGTACTGGTCTAAAACCCACAAGGTCCAAGGTTTGGTCACAAGCACCGCATATACAAAAACCAAAATAACAAGTAATTAAAATCAGAAATAGCAGACAAGACAGACAAGACTAGAGATGTGCACAAACTATAACATAAACAATGGTGAAATGGGGTTGTCCAAGATTCCCAAATTCAAAGCACAAGAGTTTAAGTGAAGGTTAACTATTAACAAGGAATTATGTGACAAAGACAAATGCATCCTGCCACAGAAGTTGAGGCATTTTCTCTAGTTTGCAGCTGCCAGTGTGGCTGGTATGCAGAGAGCCGGACAGTGTCTGGTCTTACAGCAGCCTCTAGGAGACAGAATATGTGACACTTCTCCAATGATGGACTAGGTCTCAGATTCTGAAACAGGTAACGAACTCGAAGCTCGTTCCTAAAGTTAGGGCAAAACCACCAATGCTAATTACCAGTAAGAGTGCCCTCCTATTCCAGCAAAATAGAAACTGGCTGAGCCATGAAGCTGTCTCTCCCGGTGCCAACCTGACAGGACCCACTTCTCATGGAAAAAGAGTCTTGGCTAAGCTATGGCAGTCTGGCTTCTATGCTGAAGTGTCTTGAGACCCCATCTCTTCAAAACTGTAACTCGCCCCTGAAAACTGCCTGAGTCTTCCTCCCCATGGAGCCACTATCTCTGTTCAGCATCCCACCTCCTGAGATCTGAGGAGTTTGCCACACTATCTTCCACTGCACGGCACTGTCAACCACCTTGTTCCAGATCTCGCAGGGTTAGAGCCACAACTGAGGCCCCCCATTCCAAGGTCCTCACTGCTGCTGCACACAGCCCCCTCCATAATGGGCTACCATGGCCTTCCACTGCTTCCATCTATACTGCTATAACAGGTTACACAAAACTTGGTAATTCATAAAGAATAGAGATTTATTTCTTACAGATCTAAGACAGAACGACTCACATCTAGTGAGTTCTTCATTCTCCTGTTTCTGCTTACTTTTGTGCAAGCATTTTTTTTTTTTAAATAAAGACAGGATCCCACTGTGTAGCCCTGTTGGCCTACAACTCCCTAAATAGGCTGAACTGGCTTCAAACTTGGGGATCTGCCTGCTGGGATTAAAGGTGTCTGCCACCACACAACAGCTTCTGAGGTCATCTTGCTATATCACTTTATGATGCAAAGTTGAAGGGAAAGAGGAGATGTGTGCCCCCAAGAGTGTTTGAGAAGGCAAGGATGCCAAACTCATGCTTTTGCCAGGAATCAAAGTCACAGAACAGTGGATATTCCTACAACAGTAACAATAATCTTCTCAGGAAGGCTATAGGCCTCAACTTTCAATCCAACTGATTTGAGAATTAAATTTACTATGAACTTTAGTGGACAATGACAAAGCACATTGTTCCTCATTCTAGAGTCCTGCAGTCCACACTGTCAGCATGCCCTGCTACCCGAGGCTTGAACCTTTTTCTTGAGAGCTTTTTCTTTCTTTCTTGTTTTCTTTTTCTTCTATTTTTTTAACTGAAATATATTCTTCTTTCATGTCGTACATCCATACCACAGTTTCCCCTCTCTCCACTCCTCCCAGATCCCCACTACATCTCCCTTTTCCCCTAGATCCTCACTCCCTCTGTTTTCTCTTCAGAAAAGAGCAGGTCTCCAAGAAACAACAGCCAAATACAAAACAAGATACAATAAGACAAGGCAAAAGGCCTCATACTGAGGCTGGGCAAAGCAACCCAATAGGAGGGGAAACGTGCCAAGAGCAGGCAACAGAGTCAGAGACACACCTGCTCCCTTAGTTAGGAGTCCCACAAAACCACCAAGCTAACAGCCACAACATATATGCAGAGGGCCTGGTGCTGATCCAGGCAGACCTCATGCTTGCTGCTGCAGTCTCTGTGGGCCCAGATGGGTCCTGCTTAGTTGATTCTTTGGGCCATGTTCTCCTGGTCCTCTCAACCCTCTGATTCCTACAATTTTTCTTTTCCTCTACCCAGAGTTCCCTGGAGACCTCTAATTTTGGTTCTTTCTCCACACAGTTTGGCTGTGCATCTCTGCATTTGTACCTCTCTGCTGATGCAGGAAGCCTCTGATGCCAGTGGGACAAGGCACTGACCAGGGTCTCTGGGCCATCCGGTTTCTCTTTCCTGCAGAATACCTTCTCATGCCAAAGAGACTAGGGAAAGGGGGTGAAGGCTTCACGTAGAAACCAGCTCAGGCTCTCTACATTCAAAAAGCTGTGTAGATGTCTTCGGTAATGGGACCCTGTTGTCCATTTGTGGAAAGCAACCCTGTTCTAGCATTATCCTGGGTTGTTTAGGGATCTTCACATGACCCTCTTGGCCAGCAAGAACAGAATGCCATTCATTCCACAAGGGGAAGCCTTGCCTTGCCTGGCTATAAAAGTTGGCCAGTTCACATTCTGTACCCTCCCATACTGGGAGTCCTCACAAGGGTCACCCTCATAGATTCCCGAAAGTTTCTACTGCATTAGGTTCTACACCATCCCCCAAATAATCCCCAATTTCAGCTGTCTCATCCTTCACTCTTCCACCCAACCCTATCCCTTCCACTCCTGCCCCTAGTCCACCTGCAAAAATCTAGTCCATATCTCTATGCCAGAGATATCCATGCTTCCCCTAGAGCCATCTTCTTTACCTATCGTCTCTGGGTCTGTGTGTTGTAGCTTGATAATCATTTATGTAACAGCTAATATCTACTTACAAGTGAATACATGCCATATTTGGCTTTCTAGGACCTCACTTAGGATGATTTTTTTCCCCTAGAACGAGCTCTTGTACAGCAGGTTGGCCATGAACTCAGAGATCTGCCAGTCTCCGCCTCCTGAGTGCTGGGATTAAAGATGTGTGCCACCACTGCCTGGCTCATGATGCTATTTTATAACAACTGAATAATACTCCACTGTGTAAGTGAACTACCTTTTCTTTACCTTTTATTCTATTGAAAGGTATCTGGTTGCTTTCAGTTCTTGGCTATAATGAACAAAACTGCAATGAACATAGTTAAGCAACTTCTCTTGTGGTAGAATGGAGCATCCTTTGAGTATATGCCCAAGAGTGGTATAGCTGGGTCTTCAGGTAGATCAGTTTTTAGCTTTCTGAGGAACTGCCATACTGATTCCCATAGTGGCTAAAAGTTTGCACTCACACCAGCAATGGCACAATGTTCCCTTCGCTCCACATTCTTACCACCATGAGCTGTCACCTGTGTCTTTGTTCTCAGTCATTCTGATAAGTGTAAGATGGAATCTCAAAGCAGTTTTTGGCTGTATTTCCCAAGGGTTAAGAATGTTGAACATTTCTTTAAGTGTTTCTCAGTCATTTGAGATTCTTCTACTGAGAATTCTCTATTTAAAGCTATATACTGTCTAATTGGATCATTTGGGTTTTTCATATCTAATTTCTTGAGTTCTTTATATATTTTGGGTATTAGATAGGTATCAGATATAGAGTTAGTAAAAATCTTTCCCCATTCTGTAGGTGGCTGCTTTGTTTGGTTGACGGTGTCCTTTGCACTACAAAGCTTTTCAGTTTCACTAAGTCCTGATTAATTGTTATTAATTGTTGATCTTGGTGTCTGTACTATCAGCGTTCTATTTAGAAAACTGTCTCCTGTGCCAATGAGTTCAAGGCCACTCCCCTCTTTCTCTTCTGTCAGGTTTAGTGTATCTGCTTTTATTTTGAGGTCTTTGATCCACTTAGATTTAAGTTTTGTGCATGGTGATAGATATGGATCTATTTGCATTCTTCTACATGCAGATATACAGTTAGACCAACAAAATTTGTTGAAGATGCTTTCTTTTTTCCATTGCATATTTCTGGCTTTTTTGTTTTGGTTTGGTTTTGGTTTTCTGAGACAGGGTCTCTCAGTAGCTATGGAGCCTGTCCTTGAACTCGCTCTATAGACCACACTGGCCTTGAACTCACAGAGATCCTCCTGCCTCTGTCTTCCAAGTGCTGGGATTAAAGGTATGTGGCACCACCATTGTCTTATTTTTGGCTTTTTTTTTAAAAAATTAAAAATCAGGTGTTCACAGTGCGGTGGTGGTGCACACCTTTAATCCCGGTACTTGAGAGGCAGAGGCAGGCTGATCTCTATGAGTTTGAGACCAGCCTGGTCTACAGAGTGAGTTCTAGGAAGGCTCCAAAGCTACAGAGAAACCCTGTCTTAAAAAAAAAAAAGTCAAAAAAGAATCAGGTGTCTATCAGTGTGTGGATTATGTCTGAGTTTTCAATTCAATGCCATTGATCACCATACCTATTTTTACGCCAATACCATGTGGTTTTTATTGCCATAGCTCTGCAGTACAACCTGTGATCAGGGATGGTGGGACCTGCAAGCAGATCTTTTATTTTCAGGATTTGTTTTTCCATATGAAGTTGAGAACAGTCCTTTCAAAGTCTGTAAAGAATTGTGTTGGAATTTTTATGGGACTTAGTTGAATCTATAGATTGCTTTTGTAGGATGGTCATTTTATGTCAATCCTACAAATCCATGAGCATGGGAGATCTTTCTATCTTCTGATACCTTCTTCAGTTTTTTCAAAGGCTTGAAATTTTTATCATACATGTCTTTCACTTGCTTGGTTAGAATTACCTCAAGAAATTTTATATTAGTTGAAGCTATTGTGAAGGATATTGCTTGATTCCCTGATTTCTTTCTCAGTCTGCCTGCCATTTTGTACAGAGCTCTTTTTCATTCCTGTCCTGCTCTGCCCTCTGTCCTCCCATCTCCCCTTCCCCAGCCCCTTTACCCCTCTGCCCTGCTCTGTCCCGCCCCGCCCTGCCCCAGAGTCACATTCCTTCTCCTTGGACCTAAGTAGCCAGGATGGGCCCAAGGGTCATACTTTGTAGTAATCTCCATCTGTGGTGGTCGGCCCCCAAAGGGAGCGGTACTACAAGGAGGTGTGGCTTTGTTGGAGTGGGTGTGGCCTTCTTGGAGGAAGTATGTCACTGTGGGAGAGGATTTTGAGGTTTCCTTTGCTCAAGTCATGCTCAGTGTGGTAGACAGTTTACTTACTGTTGCCTGAGGAACAAGATGTAGAACCCTCAGTTCCTCCTCCGGCACCCCTGTCTGCCTGCACACCACCATGCTTCCCACCATGACAATAATGAACTAAACAATAATGAAATTGTAAGCTAAGCCCAATTAAATGTTCTTTTTTGTAAGAGTTGCCATGGTCATGGTGTCTTTTCACAGCAATAGAAACCCTAATGAAGACACCATCTATCAGTATTTTGGTGGTGAGAAACTTACGAAGCAGCTTCCATATGCCACAGTGGTTCATTTCACACACCCGTGACCTCATAGACACTCTGAGCACATACCTAAGAGAGGCTACCATTGGCCTTCATACTTTGGAAGGGGAAAAGATCAAGTCCCCTACAATCCTTCCTACGGAGGAGGCTAACAAGCTGCATGGCTATTGCTGCTGTCATAAAAGCCTGCAGTTCAGGCCATAGAGACACTTTCAGATGTGGCAAGCACTGAGCCCTGCCTTTAGAACCATATGAACCATATGAACCACAGTTAGAATCATTGTACCCACCCAGGATCAGAGCCACCACACCTAATCAAGTGCCACCCTTATATGGAATGTGTAAATCCTTCCTCATAGAATCTAAACAGAAAAGTGTGAAAGAGTTAGTTGCTCCATAATATGCAGACATTAACACAGACACAGACACAGACACAGACACAGACACACACACACACACACACACACCACAAACAAAAAACAGACAAACAAAAAAACAACAAAAACCAAAAACATCAAAAAGTGAGAAACATCACTTTATCAAAAGACTATTATCATATTCTAGCAATTGACTTCAAGGGATAGAAATCATGAATAATCCAGATAGGAATTCAAAATAACAGTTAATGAGGAAAACCAGAAAATCGACAATTCTATAGAAAAAATACTGAAATTCTAGAGTTTAATAATTCAATGAATGAAACTGACCCTGAAATAGATTCAACAGCAGACACCCACAATCAAGCAAAAAGTCTATCAACAAAGTTAGCTCACTTGAAAGTATCATGTCGAAACAAATAAAAAACCAGTAAGAGTAAGACAGAAAAGAAAAAATACCCTACAAATAAACAAATGTGGAATCCATTAGTGTTGAGCATGGGGCTAGCCTTGGAGTGTTACTGATGTGCCCAGTGAGCACTGAAGAAAACTCATTTTCAATTTTAAGAGGGGGCATGATGTTGGATGGGAGGAAAGGAAGGGAGAATCTGGAAGAAGTTGGGGAAGGGAATATGATCACATTTTAAAAAATATTTTTTAGAATAAAAAGATCAACAAATAAATATACCCATATATTTACTCAAAGTATCATTTAAAAGACAGAAGTCACAGAGAGAACAAAGGGGCACTGTTCAGAGAATGAGTGTACTCAGTCTGAGTGTTCCACAAGGAAACGAAACCGAGAGAAGGCAGACAGGAACTCAGCAAGGAATTGCACTAACCCCGACGTGCACAAGACACTCCCCGCACTAACAGCCACACACACACATGTGAAGACTGCTCTAGAAGGAACCTCTGGGCTACAAGACTAGGTCTCATGATGTAAGGAGACTAAAATGAAATACTTTCTTTAACCTCAGTGGTATATATACAACTAGAAACCACTACAAGAGGGGTTTGGGGAAAACTCACAGACACATGAAAATTACACAACATTCTCTAAACTAATGAGCAAAGAAAAAATCAAAAGGAGGTTTAGAAGCATTCATCTCAAGGAATTCCATTGAGTACTGCAGACAGTCTAAGAGGGAAGCCCACTGGGACAAAATTACATTAAATAAATAAAAAATAAATAAAGTCTCAAGTAAGTAACTTAATTCTTGACCTCAGGGAAGTAGAAAAAGAAGAAACTAAGCCAAAAGTTATAAGAAGGGAAGAGAACACAAAAAACAGAAATACAACAAAAAGAACAGAAAGACCCTAGGAAAATGTAAGGAATCATCTGAGTTGTTCTCATTCTCATTCTCTCTCTCTCTCTCTCTCTCTCTCTCTCTGTCTCCAATTCATTTGAGGACAGGATTTTCACTGTGCAGTCCTGGCTGCCCTGGAACATCTATGTAGATCAGGCTGGACTAGAACTCACAAAGAACTTCTTGCTTCTGCCTTCCTAGTATTGGGATTAATGGCATGTGCCATCTGCCCAGACGTGCTGAGTTGTCATCTTCAAAACAATATGCAATGAAATAAACAAAACCGACAGGATCATAGGAAGGTTTGTCGATGTCTCCTGGGTGCCCAGATTAGCTTGGGTAAAACCATGAAATCCCTGATCAAACTGGTTACTCACATGGTTCTCATGATCTCTTAAAATTAGACGTTTTCCAAATCAATCAATAATCTAATTTCCATTATTTAGAGGTAGAAAAGAGGGGGGCAGCCGTAATGTGCACCTGCCTCTCTAGTGACAGGGAGGTGGGGATGGGAGCAGACTGAGGGGTTGAAGACCAGCCTGGGCAACAAAAATGTATTATCTCTCTAAGAGACAACAGGAAAGTGGTCACTTCTGGGAGAATCGTCATAAGTGCTACTCTAGTGAGTCTCCTCGTCCTTCATCCGCCCATCTTCGAAGGCCCCCTTCCCTTGAAATTGAGCTACCACTGAGCTAAGTCACAAACGTTTTAAAAAATATTTTATAAATGTGGCTCATTGAGTTGCTCATAAAGGCCTTCAATTTCTGATCCTCAGGCCTTTTGTGTAGCTGTAATCTCAATCTCAATTGAGCACTGCTTCAATTTTCAGGAAATGGCTGAAGGGGAAGAAAACAACCGCAGTCATTTCCTGGCTTGGGGCTATCACCGGGACTCAGTGACTAGCTAACAGGCTCACAGCCTCTCGCACTAAACCCACAGAGAAGCCCAAAGAGGTCCTAGCGCAGTGATTCCCAACCTTCCTAAAGCGGTGACCCTTTAATACAGTTCCTGATGTTGGGGTGACCCCAACCATAGAATTATATTTGGTGCTACTTCATAACTATAATTCTGCTAATATTAGGAACCATAATGTAAATATTTGATACACGATCCCTGTGAAAGGCTCACACAACCCCAAAGGGGTCGCGACCAACAGGTTGAGAAACACTGTCCCAGCGACTGCGAAAACACCACATTATCACACAAAAACATATTCAATAAAAGAAGCTCTGACTTAGCTTAGCTGTAGGGAAAGAAACTGTGTTCGTCAAGGTACAATTCAAATTTATAGATTATGAAATGGCAGGAGGCTATTGGACCTGGCTAAAAGCCATCTCTAAACCAGTGTCGTTGTCCACCCCGCCCGGCAGCCAAGCCAACCAAGAGCTTCTTTTATTGAACAGTCCCTTCCTCAGGCTCCTCCATCTGCATTTTCAGCCTGAGCCCGACAGCCCTTCCCTCTTCATCCTCCTTTTTAGCCAACAAACTCACTCAAGTAAAAGCAATGCTTTTCTTGAAAACTCCTTCAAACTGCCCCTAATATTGCTCAGCCAACCAGCAGCCAACCCGAAAGTGGTAAAATACGGAGAATTAACGCACCAATCCAGAACTTCAAAGTATTTCGGACTCCAAGGAGAAGAAACGAAAGTTTGAGCCCAGGAAGAGAAAGAGAAACTACGGAAGGACAGACCAATAGTATGCTTCCGCATAAGCATGCCCAGCTCCAGCTGAAGGAACTCCCCTCAGATCAGCACAGCCTGTCTGGAGAGCCCTTACAATCTGCTCTCCCACCCTTAACTGGTTTTTTTCTTTTCTTTTCTTTTCCTTTCCTTTTTTTTTTTTTTTTTTTTTTTTTGCGTCTCTGGAATTTCTGAAATTGCCAACAAGATCCAGACCTGGAAAGTCTTCTCTTGGGCTCTTCTTGCGCCTGAGCTCCTGGCTGGGTTTCACTTTGCAGGGCAGGTGTGGCCCTAAGGGCAGGAAATACAGGTGAGAAGGTGAGGACAGAGAACTGCAGTGTCTCTGGGGCTGGACTTGGGCACTCACAGGATGAGAACAGGGAGGAAGCTGCAGTTCAGGGCAGCTGCTCACAATCAAGATTCCCACCCAGCAGGACAGGATGGGAGGAGCCCCATGCAGAGTCCTGCAGAGACACTTCCCACACTCACAGCAGTGAAACTAGCAAGGTGCAGGGGCTCTCCAGATGCCCAGGGGTGTCCTGCAGATTAGGTGTTCTGTTGCTGCCCAGAGCAGGGCCTCTTTCCAGTGCTGATCTGATACATTGTATCCCTTCCAGGAATCCCTCCCCAGAATGTCTCAGCAGGTCCTCATTTGAGTTAGGATTTATAATACATTCCTCTGCTATTGCCTCAGCATCCCCTGAATTAGAAGCTGAACGTGTATAGAGCTGGGGATGTGGTTGAGTTGACACAGTGCGCGCCTAGCAGGATGGAGTCCTGGGGTGGATCCTGAGCACTGTGCACACCCAGGTGTACTGACACGTGCATGTGTCTGTGTTAGTCACTCTTCTGTTTCTGTGATAAACACCACGACTGAGGCACCTTATAAGGACAGTGCTTGGTTTGGGGCTTGCAATTTCAAAGGGTCATGGCCACCACAGTGGCAGCAGGCAGGGAGGCATGGTGCTGGGGTAGGAGGTGAGAGGTCACACTTGAGACACAAACTTGAGCCAGACACAGAGAGACACTGGGAATGCCCGGAATGTATTGAAATCTCAGAGCTCACACCCATGTCACATGTACTCCAATACTGCCACACCTTCCAGTTTGTCCCCAACAGTCCCAATAACTGGAAAATGAGTATTCAAAGACATGAGCCTATGGAGGCCATTCTTATGAAATCACCACAGAATCCCACTGCTTTGGAGCTGGCAGCAGGAAGATCAGGAGCTCAGAGGCCATTCTCAGTAATAGGGGACTTTGATGCCAAGACAGCCTGAGATACATGAGAATTATCTAAACACAGAAACGCTGTATCAGGGAAACAAGGAGCCGTCCCCGTTCTCAGTCTCACCCTGACTCCTGCACGCCTATCTCATGTGTTCCTTATCTTCTCAGATCTACAAAGATATGACATATGGAGCTGCAGCAGATGTGACAGTGTAGTCTGAATTTCGTTTAACATACCTGTCGTCTCCTCCTTTTTATTCTTATTTTTAGAGATGGGCTCTTATAATGCACCCCAGCCTGACCTCTCGCTGAGATTTAACTCCCTCACCCTCCCCAGTGCTGAGACCATGGGCTTTGGCTGTTGTTTTAGTTTGGTCTTTGCACTTCAGGGATTGAACCCAGGACCTTGTGAATGCTGGGCCAGTGTCCCATCCCTGAGCTAAATCTCTAGTTCAGTAAAGAGACTGAACTGTTGTTCTTGCTGTGGACACAGTGGCTGTCAATCAATATTATAATCTGATTCTTCTGAATTGTTAATGATTAAATAAAATTCTTTACAACTTTTTGTTTGGTTTTGTTTTGGAGGCAAGGTTTTATTTCACATCCCAGACTGGGTTGGAGCTCGCTCGTGTCCAGGGTGGTCTCCAGCTGCTGGCCGTACTCCTCCCTCAACCTAGCAAGTACAGGTGTTAGAGGGATGAGCCACCATCTTTGACTTTTACAGCTTTGAACCAGTGACTCCCCTGTTTCCTCCTAAGGCCTTCTTGGGAATCAAAATAATAAAATGCTCAGCCAGCCATCTACCTCTTTGTGAAATTTCTCTGCAGCCACAATTTCATTCCAACTCTGTGCAAAGATTTGACTTTGTGGTCAGGTCTGCCACCAGCCTCGAACCTCAGTGACAAGAATGAAGGTGGCCAGGAGAGCACAGCACTGACCACGCTGCTGAGCGGTGCCGCAATGTGTGTGAGTCTAACTGTGTCAATACACACTGGCGTTTATTTCACCACAGGGAAGGCTTCCCATGAAACAATTATGGAAGAAATAATACTCGAAAATGACATTGGGGAGCTTTGAAAGTAGAATTTTTTCCTTGAATGAATTCATAATTTGATAAAAGTAAAATCATGTAGGATTTTAAAGTACAGGTATTTTAATCTGTAGAACCCAGCATGGCGATGTTTTGCGTGGGCTGATGCATACTCTGCCAGCATGTAGTGCTAGAATCTCTGATCCACATGCCACCCTGTAACTGCCTCTCTGCTGTCACACATAGAGAAAAGATGCAGCTCCACTCAAGATGAGTCCCCAGGAGCTGCCTTGCTGGTGTCACCCTAATCTAAGTGAGTTTTGATGATAGAGGACCCAGTCTTGCGTCACATGTCTGTCCTGCCTCCTGCCTGGAAATCAGAGTCTGGCTACAGGCTTCTGCTGTAAAACTAACCCAACCTTTACCCTAAAAAGTATTAGAAAAAAGTCTCTGCTACAGGAACCCAGATACTCCCCAGATATCCCTCCAGTCTTTCCTGGTCCTGAACTCTCCTGGAAACACCACGGTGTGCCCTCTCAGTCTCTCTGCCTATTTAAGGCAATCTGACTCCAAATAAACTTACTTTACTCCAGTAATCCCTTAGAGTGTCCCCTTGAACCAACTACCTCACCCAAAATCTGGCACATTCCTCTTTAAAAGCAAAACTAAGAAGAGTAGGGTCTTTCTCTGTAACTGAGCCTGGCTCAGATGCACAGTCACCTGTCTCTGCCTCCTGAGTGCTGGGCCTGCATCCAAACCATCATGCCAGGCTCTGGTACTCAATCTCAGCAGTTCTTCATTACAGTCACAGCAAGGAGACAAAACAGACACCACATTGGATACAATTTCCATGAGGAAAGTTCCTAGAACTATTGTTGACGTTTGTTCATCGGCATCACTGTTATCACCTTCACTTTAAAACGGAAATCATAGGATTTACATACTTGATAGGAACTAAATAGTACAATAACATTCATTCTCTCAAGAAATAGATGTGAAAAACTGCTGTTATCTATTCCCCCAGACCCAAGACTCCAGGGAGCACCAGTGGTCTAGGATCCAGGGAAAAACAGAGGCTAGGGTATTGGAAGACTAGGAAGCCTGCATCCAGGGTAGTTGTTTGTTGGGGTAGCAGACTGGTTTGTATATAGCATGAAGACAAAAGGGTACACAAAAAGCATTACTTTGCATACACAGAGTGGAATGAGGGCAAGAAGGGGTTATCAGTTCAAAGAGTGCCTGCCTAGGTGGAAGTTCAGGGAGGGAACAGGAATGTTGCAGCAGCAGAGGTGGCAGGTCCCTTAGTTTATCAGCTGACAGACAGCTAGCAAAATAATGTGTGTTGCTGCTAGCTTTCTGACAGAGAGGAAAAGAATTGCTGGCTTTTAAAATGATGTGACCTTTTGTCCCTATGAAGTGGATCCAGGTTTTCCAACCCAAGTCAGGTTGAAGGTCCTATTCCTATAATAAATCTCTCAAGATATTTTGGGCTACAGTCATACCCAACTGACGTGTTTGATTGTGAAATTTCTCAAAAGCCAAATATTTTTATATATATATATATATACATATATATACATATATATATATATATATATATACATACACAACATATTGGAGTAGTCTTGATGACACTTCCCAGGACATAATTACCAGAGTTAAATGTTAGGAAAGTCGAATATCAGCCACCCTCAGCCCTATCCAGTTGGCCATTGCAGCATCGAAAACCCAGTACAGCATCTGTGCCCCCAAACTAACATACAACCATTTACTGACTGCGAAGTAGATGTTTTATTCTCAGTGATTTATTCCCCTTTTAATACTCACATAATCCATTTTGCATTTGTGTATACTACCACGTGTAGGAGGCAGAGGATAATCTGTAGGAGTTGGCTGCCCTCTTTGCAGGTGGGTTTGAGTACCTGTGTTCTCGTAGGCTTGCTTTTACCCTCTGGGCCTTGTAACAGACCCCACATTTATTTTTTTTACATCAATCTAGAGTATAGGAACAGTATTGACATCAAAAGTGCAAAAATAAAATAAGTATAGGCCTTTGAGGATGTCATTCAGGGCTACACTGCAATGGAAAATGGCAGAAATGGAGCAGAGGAAGGTTCTCAGAACACACAAAGTCTTAGTGGGTGTCGTTGGAGGTATTTCCTTCTTATGTTTTGATGAAGTACAGCATTGTGGTTAAACTGATGCACCACTCATTCTTAATCTAGACACTCCGACATATATTTTCAAAAGTAATAGACAAGCAGGAGAAGCACTTTCTGTCTTCTTCTGTCAGTGACAGAGGAATGGGGTTGTGGAGACTTGGCAGAGCTGAGACAAGTGGCTCAGGGGCAGAGCACCTCCTCAGCATGCACAAGGCCCTGGCTTCCATCTGTGGCACCACAAAACAGGAAGTGCAGGTTAACAGAGGTCTTACCTCACCTCGTGAGGAAAGAGTCATTGTGTCTGGGAATCTGGGAAGAGATAAATTACTATAACCTCGTAAACAGACAAGCAACTGAATCAAAGAAAAGAAACAATACTGGTTTGTATTTAGAAGTGAAGGTTACTGACATGGGAAGACAAAAGTAGAAAAAGTTAAAATGATCTCACAGACCTCAGACATATACATACATCAGACATGGGGACACTGTGCAGACATGGGTTAGGGCTTAGGAGGGCGGCCCACAGACTGTCAATGGCTCTGAACACATCATAGGATTAAAATATGGATAAACGGCATCAGGGAAGTTTGATTCACAGAATCTATAGATGAGAGCTCCATGGTTGGAAACATCATAAAATGAGAGAGTGCAAGCTTCACGGTCCAGGAAAACTCCAACACGAGTGGGAGGACAAGTCAGAGAGAGGAGCAAGACACTGGCATTGTGGGTGACAGAACACTCTTCAAAGGCATTATACACAGACCTGCTCCTCATCCCAATAACCCAGTAGCCCCATTTGGGCTGATAATTTACATGCTGTCCATTATTAGGATCATATATAACTTCATGTTTAGGTTGATAATTCATATATCCTGTGTCCAAAACCAAAGGTTTGTATTCATGGACAGAGTGTTGAAAGGGAGGAGTTAAATTTACTTTAACATTAGAATTATAACCGAAACTAAA